AGTTCCGACAGTTTTTACTTCGTTTAAGCAAATGAGTGGCATTTAAAAGGTGCGAGGAGCAGGCAGCAAGCGAAGATGAGAATTGAAGGACTGCAAAGCCGCGCCTAGTTTGTGAAAGCATCCCAGAGACATCATTAGCGTGAAACCCCCAAATCGGGTGATCGAGCGATTTTGGCATGCTTGATGAAAGGTTGTTAAATCTCGGTAAAACCAATTCAGAAGCCAACTGGCACAATTTAATTAATCCCACAGTTCTTTAGAGCAAACGTCTTTTTTTTAATTCTTTATCTGATTGAAGATGACAGTAAGCAGCTGTTATCGCATTTATCGTCGCTAGTTCAAAAAGCAGCTGATTTTGTGAATCTGTTTCGGAAGTTTGCTGCCCGGGAACAAACTACTGCACTGTACTCTCAGGTGAGTTATACAGCTTACAATCAAAGCTAGAGCTTAGACCTGGTGTCCCTTTTTCTGAGGAACTATTCTTCCTTCGCTTGTGAATCTCATCACGCTGCCCGAGGACTCGCTTTTATCTGTCTTATTTTATTTTTAATTGCAAGTTATTATTCGTCCGTATATGTAGCACTAGGCTAAGGCCCATGAAGAATGTTTGAAAACAGCAAGAATATTCATACCACCCAGAAGGTTCTTGTGGGTTTTCCATGCCAGTGATACTACTAGGATGCTTCCAAAGGCATGTACGCATTTGTTTAGTTCAGTTCAGTGCATTATCAGTGAGAAAACTGGTCCCAGTTTATTACTTTAAGACTCTGATTAAGGATAACTAAAACAAAAGTAGAGCGTTATTTTGCACGAAGAACAAAATTATTTGGAAGGATTAGAAATGGTTGCACGCTCTTTTTAGAACGAGCGATTGAGTTTCTGGTAATCATTACAACTAAATACTGCGCATAAGTAGCCAGGAATCAAAGTGTCGTAAGTTTATCCTGGTTCTGCTACAGTCCAGGCATTTGCAGACGAAAAATATTCGAAGGCGACATTCGATTCAGCGATCGCCGGTAGTGAGCACGAGTGGTCATGGAAGAAGGTCACTGCCACTGCGATCAACAAAATATCGCATTGCTGATGACACTTCGCAAAACACACGCAAAGATGTCGGCAACCAAAAAAGTAAGAAATAAATTAAGTAGATAAATGCACCACCTAAATTCTCTATGCAACACAGAAATGCTGCAAGAGATTAAAGTTAT